TGATGAAAAAGGTGATACGAGTTCAAAAATGTAAACAAAGCCACGTGCTCCGACTTCTCACCTGGTTCGCTCCATGTTCGGTCTGCGCCTGCGCGTGTGGAGGCGAGTCTGCGCAAGAGCGAGCGGACCTCGTTTGGCCTCCAGTTGGTCCTCCACCTCCACCAGACTCTTCTCCAGCTGGCTCTCTTCTTCCACCAGCTGTGCAGATGAATGAATGTTAATCATAATCAGTATAAATGAATCTTTAATCAATATCATCAGGGAATAGATGATAATGAATTAATTATTGCGCTACTAATATTCTGTGCTATTATACAGTATAAAAGATGTTTTGATAAACCAATATCCTAGCAGGGAATAGATGATAATTAATTAATCCCTACAGCAGGGTCTTCCCCTAAACCAGGACCCTTCTTCACCCGCCCCAAGACCCACCTTCGCGAGGTGTTCCTCCAGCAGGGTCTTCCCCTAAACCACGACCCTTCTTCACCCGCCCCAAGACCCACCTTCGCGTGGTGTTCCTCCAGCAGGGTCTTCCCCTAAACCAGGACCCTTCTTCACCCGCCCCAAGACCCAACCACCTTCGCGTGGTGTTCCTCCAGCAGGGTCTTCCCCACGGACCCTTCTTCACCCGCCCCAAGACCCACCTTCGCGTGGTGTTCCTCCAGCAGGGTCTTGGCGTGCCTCGTGTCCTTCACTCGGGTGGCCAGGCAGAGGTCCGTGTGCTCCAGCCTCTCCTTCAGATGGCGTCCTGCGGCCACGAGGATGTCCTCACTCACCGCCAGGACCTGGGAGGGTGAGTGGGACGTTGTCATTGGAGGCTGAGCTTGAGAGGATTGGGAGAGGTACTTAGGAGTTTGAAGAAGTTGTGGTAGGAGTCTGAGGAGGTTGTGATGGGAGATTGAGAAGGTTGTGAGAGGAATTTTAGGAATTTCAGGAGGCTGTGATAGCAATTTCAGGGAGGCTAGTATAGGAGGTTGAGAGAGTTGTGATAGAAGTTTTGGAGGTTATGATAAGAGTTTCAGGAGGTTGTGATAGGAGCCCTTTTGTTGTTGTCAATGTAAATTACTTCATTTATGCCTTATTGGCGATACTCCTTATTCTTTTTAAAAAATCGGGGAAAAAATGAAGGTCCGAATGGAAAAAACAAAAAAAACATATGAACTTTCGTAATTAGCTGAATAGGAAAAATGGAGATTATGATGATGAAAAGGAGATGAAGGAGGAGGGAGAGGAGACGAAAGTAGATGCGAAAAAAAGCAAAAATAAGGCACACATACAGTAATAAGAAAAAGAGACGGAAAAAGTAGTTTTCAACAAATTGAATAGCTTTGATAATAGATAAATAACACTTTACAATATCTGCTGTAGGTAAAAAAGAATGATAAAATGACCATGCAGACGAAAAAGGAAGCAACCAGACAGCAAGAATATATAGCGATGACATGATATTCTTAGATCAATTTCCTTCACTTGTGGTCCTGCTTCGTGTCTAAGACTATGCAATATTCCTACGGAGGTTATCACGATTATGCCAGTTTTTTTTTTTTTTTTCTTCTTTTTCTCAGTCTTTGGTGATATATAAAGTAGAACTATATAGCTTATGAATAGCCTGTTGGAAATTTAAGTAAATAAACGCCTATGTTAATCGATGTAATGTGTGATGTTTATAATTTACTTTAGTATTTTTTTAAGACTCAGAAAGCTACATATTTTTTGTTGAGATATTACCACACACGTATTTTATTTTGTTTATCTATTCTTTTCACTTAATTCCGCATATCCTAGATTAACAAACACTACATTTACCTTTAATTTACCTTACAAATTAAATTTTACGTGTGAGCAACATACCTCCTCATACACACACGCGCATTATTATTTTATCATTATCTTTTTATATTACCCGACCAGTCATTTTAACCGAACTTACCTGCACCGACAACTCGTGCTCGTGGTCCGCCCGCTCCAAAAGTTTTACACCCGTCGCCCTCCACCAATCCCTCCCCTCAATACCCACACGCGTTATTATTCATTATCTTTTTATATTAGCAGCCATTTTAACCGAACTTACCTGCATCTACAGCTCGTGCTCGTCCCGCCCGCTCCAAAAGTTTTACACCCGTCGCCCTCCACCAAATCCCTCCCCCTCAATACCACACACGCATTATTATTTTATCATTATTTTTTATATGAACAGAGCAGCCATTTTAACCGAACTTACCTGCACCTCCAGCTCGAGCTCGTGGCCCGCCCGCTCCAAAAGTTTTACACCCGTCGCCCTCCACCAAATCCCTCCCCGTCAATACCACACACGCATTATTATTTTATCATTATCTTTTTATATTACCCGACCAGCCATTTTAACCGAACTTACCTGCACCGACAACTCGTGCTCGTGGTCCGCCCGCTCCAAAAGTTTTACACCCGTCGCCCTCCACCAATTCCTCCCCCTCAATACCACACACGCATTATTATTTTATCATTATCTTTTTATATTACCCGACCAGTCATTTTAACCGAACTTACCTGCACCGACAATTCGTGCTCGTGGTCCGCCCGCTCCAAAAGTTTTACGCCCGTCGCCTTCCACCAGTCCACCGACACCGGGCTGCGGAAGGGACGGAGGGAGGAGGGTGACTGACTGTTTTTTTCTGTTTCTTTTTCTGTCTGTTTGTCTGTTTGTTTGCTTGCTTGTTTTTTGTCACTGTCGTCTATGAATTTCTGTCGCTGTTATGCCGTTTTTTCGGTTTGTTTCTCTCTCTGTCTGTTTGTCTGTTTGTTTGCTTGCTTGTTTTTTGTCACTGTCGTCTATGAATTTCTATCACTGTTAGTCTTTGTTTTGCGGTTTGTGTTTTCTTTCCTTCTCTGTCTGTCTGTCTGTTTGTCTCTCTGTCTCTGTCTCTGTCTCTGTCTCTGTCTCTGTCTCTGTCTCTGTCTCTGTCTCTGTCTCTGTCTCTCTCTCTCTCTCTCTCTCTCTCTCTCTCTCTCTCTCTCTTTCTCTCTGTCTCTCTATCTATTATTTACCTATATCTATCTATCTATGTATATAGGCCTACTATATATATACAGATACATATATATATATATATATAATATATATATATATATATATATATATATATATATGTATGTATATATGTGTGTGTGTGTGTGTGTGTGTGTGTGTGTGTGTGTGTGTGTGTGTGTGTGTGTGTGTGTGTGTGTGTGTGTGTGTGTGTGTTGTGTGTGTGTGTATGCATGTAGGTATACACAGTCACACACACAAACACATTATCCCCTATCCATCCCTCCCTCCCCCGCCCCCCATCTCGTGTTACCTGGGATCAATAGTCTGTCCGTGGATGATGTCCGTGGGATGGGCGGTGGCTGTGAGGCGCCTCGTCTCCTCCTCGACCTTGATGGCGCCGTCCTTGTCCTGTACGTTCTTCTCCAGGTGGTACGGCACGAGAGGACACGCCGGATCTGCGAGAAGTGGGGGGAGGGTAGGAAGTGTGGGCGTGGGGGTGGGGGGAGGGGAAGTGTGGGGGTGGGGGTGGGGGGAGGGTAGGAAGTGTGGGGTGGGAGTGGGGGGAGGGTAGGAATGTGGGGGTGGGGAGTGGGGGGAGGGTAGGCTGGGGTGGGGAGCGGTAGGAAGTGGGGAGTGGGGGGAGGGTAGCAAGTGGGGGGGAGGGTAGAAGTGTGGGGTGGGGAGTGAGGGGGAGGATAGGAAGGAGGGTAGGAAGTGTGGGGGTGGGGAGTGGGGGGAGGGTAGGAAGTGTGGGGTGGGGGGGGGGGGAGGGAGGAAGTGAGAGGGGAAGTGTGGGGGTGGGGGGCGGGGGTGAGGGTAGGAAGTGTGGGGTGGGGGTGGGGGGAGGGTAGGGTGGGGTGGGGGGCGGGAGAGGGGGACCTGGAGTTGTGAATCGTCTATGTCCGTTTTCTTTACTATCTTTAGTTGTATTTTTATTGTCATTTTTATTATTATTCATGAATGGTTTGCGTAATTTATAAAGGGGTAGTTAGGCTTGGAGGAAACAAGTGGTAATGATTGGAATTGAGGTTGATAAAACATTCTTTTCTGTTAATTGGCTACAAGGTCGGGGTTGACTTCCATCCGATCTAAAACAATATATCAACAGCTAAAACTCAAAAAAAAAAAAAAATAAATAAATAAAAAATAAATAAATAAAAATAATAGTAATAAATAGATAAGTAAATCAATAAAAATTAATAAATAAATAAATAGATAATACCTAATGATTTTGGACAAAAAGTACGATCGTAAATAAAATCGAACAGTCATAAAAGCTCAAACTAAACAATACCCGACGATTTTGAACAAAAGCGACGACCTCGATTTAAATTCCGCTCCCAGCTTCAGTCCCGCTCGCCTCCCAAGATTCGGCTTCTTCCTACAAAATTTAGGGTCTTCCTCTAACCCTTTCATCTCGACATCGGATTCTGATGAGAAATGTCTCTCGAACGTTCGCCTCGACAGACAGACGCCGGCGATGATGAGAAACCCGCTGCGCTACCGTGTGACCCTAATTATACGAATCAGGGCAGATGATCCCAGGTCGCCCGCGGGTCAGGCGGCCATGACGCTGGGTGAAGACAGGGCGACGGGAATTTATGCTTTGTTCTGAAGCTGCGGAGAAAAATCCCCCGTGGCCCATCGCGGAAAGGAAAAGGTCGGCTTCGGCAAGAAAATGGAAGCGGGAGAGAAAAATGTTTGTCAAAGAGTTTTATGCATGAATTGGAAATGCGTTGCGAATCCGTATGGAAGGGAATTATAGGTTGGAGTCATTACTGACATGAAAACAAATGCATAAGAGGGACGAGGCGTTGCTGCGCGTGCGAGTTGCAATATCAATACGCTCCTCGGGTTGATGACTTGGCGAAGGGGTGCAGTGTCTACAGACATTCGTTTTCTTTCGAAAGGACTATCATTCCCGGGATTGCATGCCGAGGCCGTGAGAGGGCAGCGCCCCTGGCGACAGCATCCCTCGCCGATGCAACCGCTACCCTCCGCGCCCCACCTGTTTCTGCGTGTCCTCCAGCGACCTCTGCAGAGCGTCGCGGCACCGAAGGAGCTCCTGCACCTCCTGCCTCAGCGCCGTCGAGGCCTCGTCCTCCACCTCCTCCACGCCCTGCCGGTCCTTCCTGAAGGCGATGCAGCGCCGCGCCACCTCCAGGGGCCGCACGTACAGGTGCAGCGCCTTCATGAGGCGGTCGCGCAGGGCGGCGAGGTCGGCCGCGTCCTCGTCCAGGCTGGCGTAGCGCGTCGACACCTCATCCCGCCAGAAAGTGACGTCACAGAGGCGGTCTTCCAGACGCCGCTCGACCTCCTGCTGATGCCCGGCTGTCAGCTGCGCCGTCTCCTCGCACGCGCGCCTGCACGCGCATGCGAGCGCGGGAAAAGGGTTGCATGTGTAGCGGGAAGACGGTTACGTTAGCGGCGGGAAAAGGGTTGCATCTGTATCATTACCTTCTGATTATTTTTTCAAGTCGTCGATATTGCTCTGTACTGATTACATTCCTATTCTACTTTATTATACGATCAGGAAAACCCTATTCGTTATGAAATCACAAAATACCAAGCATACGTAGGAGATGAAAACACGTGTGAACATACATAGAATGCAGTACAGAATAAAAATACCTGTACCTGTATCAACTTAAAAAAAAAATTAACAAACACAAACATACCCCAGACACACATCACACCCACAGCCGCGCAAAACAATCTATAACGATCCATACATCCTTATGTACACACCACACGCACAGACACCCATGGCCGCCGAACACGCCCATACGCACCGGTTCTCCTCCCTGGTTCTCTCGCCGCGGGAAATCTGGGCGCGGGCGTCGTGCATCTTGGCGGAGTGGGAGGCGCGCCACACGGCCGGGTTGATGGGCGGCGCGGGGGACCAAGCGTCGCCGCCCACCTGCGCCCACGGGGGGAGAGGCGGAGGGAAGAGGAAGGGAGAAGGAGAGAGAGCGAAGGAAAAGGGAAAGGAGAGAGGGAGGGAAGGGGGGGAAGGAGGGAGGAGGGAAGGAGAGAGAGGGAGGGAAGGGGGGATGGAAGGGAGGAAGGAGGAGGGAGAGAGAGAGAGAGAGAGAGAGAGAGAGAGAGAGAGAGAGAAAGAGAAGAGAGAGAGAGAGGGAGAAAGAGAGAGACAGAGAGAGAGAGAGAGAGAGAGAAGAACAGAGAGAGAGAGCAGAGAGAAAGAAGAGAAAGAGAGAGAGAGAGAGAGAGAATGTGATAATTTGGGGATTAATTATTCATAAATATTGCCTACAGTGTTTTGCATTGTAACAAAGGAGCTTACTGCGATAGAAACGATGCTGGCAAAGGCACTGATAACGATAATAGTGACAACAATATCAACAGAAAAAGTGACATTGATAAACAGAATCATAACAGAGATAATGATAAGATTGATGATGATAATGATAACGACTGATAATCACAATAATGGAAACGATAACCGTAATAAAAAGAACATAATCACTCTAATTATATAAAGCCAGTGTTGCCATTATCACCACCCTCCCTATCTTCGTGTCTCTCCCGCCCACACTCGCCTACCTGACCGGGCACCCTGGGCGGCACGGCGGGGGCATAGGGCTGCTCGCGGGAGATGGGCGTGCGGGCGGCGAGGGCGGCGGGGGCGGAGGAAGACCTGTAATAATCGCGGGTAAATTCCGAAGAGGCAACGCGGCGGTCCCGAGCCAGGAGCGCCATCTTGGGGGGGAGAGGGGGGGGAGGGGGGAGAGTTTTGTTTATTTATTTGTTTCATTCAGCTATTTACTTATCAGTTATCTGTTTGTTTGTATTATCTATTTATTCGTGTATCTGTTTATTCATGTGGTTATGGGGGAAACAAGGAGGAAATATTAATTTTTAGTTTTGTTTGTACTATTATATCTATGGAAGAGAGAGAGAGAGAGAGAGAGAGAGAGAGAGAGAGAGAGAGAGAGAGAGAGAGAGAGAGAGAGAGAGAGAGAGAGAGAGAGAGAGAAAGAAAGAGAGATAGAGAGACGAAGGTGAATTTTCATTAATCTAGGATCGTCATAGAGTGGAAAGTGGCGTAAACTGAAGATAATTTAAAACAAGGATATCAGACTAATTTGCGTATATCGGATTGAGTCTGTATGACTGTTGACAGACATAAAAAAGATTAATTTAGGAATCGCTAGAGAAAAAACTTGGTAATGAATGTTTTATATACATAAGAAAAAAGGTAATTTGACTGTTTAAATTTGTGCATATATATGTATATGTATATGTATGTATTATATTATATATATAATATATATATATATATATATATATATACATATATATATACATATATATATATATATATATATATATATATATATATATATATATTATATATATATATATATGCATGTATGTATGCGTGTGTGTGTGTGTGGATTAAGGTGAGAGGTTAATAGGAGAGGAATAAAGTTGTTTTAACTCCCTCTCTCCCTCCCTCTATCTGTCTGTCTGTCTGCCTGTTTCTCTCTCTCCCAAATACAGAAAAAAGGAGAACAATCAAGTGTTTAATTATATCAACATGAAAAAATTACCCTATAGCCAAAATCTGGAATTGCCCTTTAGTGAAGTTCCCCATAAAAATGCATAGTCTTTCTCCGTTTTCTGTTACACGATGGACCAAAGATAAATCCAGAGGTATGCTTGGCCTTTTAACAAACTATCTGAAACATACAGATATCTTGATACGCCTAAAGACACATGTTCGATTTAAACATCGATAACACGCAAAACAGGATACACAACAGACAATAACTGCGTATTTTACAAGAATAAAGGATCAATATGAGATATGGACGCGGATGTCTGCAGACAGAAAATCTAGAGAAATATTTTTAGATAGAAAGAGCTGCATTTCCACTTAAATTTATGATGTGTAATTAATCAAGGTAGAAGTATTTTGCGTATGAAAAGTATTTTTATAAAACACATATCTCGATAATGGATTCCGCATTATCTAGTGCAGGGAAGAATGTATACTTACATACATACATACATATATATTATATGTATATATATACATATACATACATACATATATATATATATATACATATACATACATATACATATACATATATATATATATATATATATATATAATATATTATATATATATATATACATACATATATATTATATATATAATATATATATATATATATATATATATATATATATATATATATGCATGAAAGATAAATTTGTAGATTGACTGTATGCATAACAAACAGAAAAAAGAACACCCATATCCGAAATGCAGTTGATAACCGCTCAAATAATAAAAAAAAAAACTTTTGTCTCCTCGCTACTTCCTATCGTATCAATATACAGATATATAATTAAGATTTTATTCTATCCTTACCTTTATATCTCCGAATTGCGCGAAGAGTATTCAATGGCAAACTCTCTTCTGTTATTTCTGTGGAAGAAATGTGTTTCGTGACCGGGGCCTGAGTGACGCTGTTACCATGGCAACGCGAGGACAGGTGCCATAAGTTGTCATAAAATTGTCATTGAAATTCATTAGGTGTAATGAATATCAATGCTTAAAACATTTCCGAATTTTAGATTTTATTTATTTTCTTTAAGAATAACAGAAATTCACTAAAACGTATGATTTTAGTCAGGGCAATATAGATATAGATTTTCCTGTTATTGCCGAGGTATTCTCAAAGTTTCTTATGGGATCATATTATAATCCATTATCAGCTAGTGCTTTTGATGAAATCAAAGTAAATGCCGACCATGTCTGGCCGAAGGGATGGTTTATTGAAAGTATCAATGAAGTTATAAGTTTTTGTAAGACTTTGACTTTCTGTTGTCGATCGCGGGCAAACGTTACCAATACTTTCGAATTTGAAGTAAATATTTCCTTTAAAGTTTTACAGTCGAAAGTCTTGAATGGTAACTTTTGAAAAATAAATGTTTTTAAGAAATGTGAATACATCAGTACACTTTTATTTAAAATGAGCAGAATACCGATGATATTCACCGCAACACTCATTCACACTGTCGGCAGGATTTTAACTGAAACATTTATATTTTGGAAAAAATACAAAATAGAAATTACAATTGTAAAGTAAAAACTAAGAAAATAAAATAATAATCGCAGAAACCCTTTATTTCTAAAAGTAGTATTTGCTAAGTGCTAAAAATAATAATTCTAAACACTAATGTGTGGAAAATACAGAAGTGTAATGTCTTCTGAAATAACCATTAGAATATAATAGAATAAAGAAAATAGTTTACACGAAAAGAGTAACTTTAAAAATGGCGAACAAAGGAAAATAACGAGAAAAATTACACACTGTGATACAGGAATAATTCCAGCGATCGATATCCAGTATGTAATTACAAAAAGTTTAGTAAATAAGAAAATAAACAACGAAAATAAAAACAAAGAGACGAAAACCCAACTTTAAACAATACGATAGATGCATAAGAAGAATCGAGGCAAAAATATTATTGGAACTTCAGAGCACGAAACCCAAACATGTCCGTCGAGGAAGGAGACTAGCGACCCATTTTCTTCTCTATTTTCCTACTTTGGTAAGGATTTTTGTGTCCAAGGGAAGGGGAATTAGCCAAGTGGGAGTCGTGAGTAAGGAGGAGGCAAAGAGAAAGAGAAGGAGAGAGAGGAATAGGAAAATTTGAATCTTCCGGCATGGTTTTCAGTTGTTTGGATTTTGAAGATAGATTTTTTTTCGTCTTTTTTTTATTTTTTTATTTTACTTTTTTTCATGTTTTGTGGAATGTTTTCCTCATATAATTTTGTCCCCACATTTCATTTAATTTATACGTTCTACGGAATTTCTCTTATAATGGAGTCCTTTTTTAGTTTCCAAAAATTCGATAAAATCTCAATAACAACAACAATTCCTGTGATTTTGACAAAACTTCATCTCAGACCAAATTCGATTCGTTATAAATCATTTCGGAGAATGGCCTCGTTAAAGCTTTCGTGTTTCGGGCAGGAAATAAATCCCCAAGAGTATGCCAGGTATTTCGTGTGGAGGTTTTAGAATCAAAATAAACCGAGGATTTTGGGTTTAACTGCATTTTCAGTGGATGTTGGTCTAGAGTTTAAAATTGTTGAGACAGGTGTGTGTTCTTTGAGCAAACTTGTACACATTCATTCACATATGCATACGTACATAATGTGTATGCACATTATGTATGTACATTCATACATACATACATACATACATATATCTATACATCTATGTATACTTATATACATACACATATACATACATTCATAATTGCATTCATAGATACATACATACATACATACATACATACATACATACATACATATATACATCTATGTATACATATATATACACATACATACATACATATATACATACATTCATGATACATAAATA